CCAAACCACTGAGGGGCTGGGGAGGCAGGTGGTTGATTTTATTCTTCAGAGAATATTTAATGATGTCTGAAGACATTTTATGTTGTCATAACCTGGGTAGAGGCTAGGGAGGCTGCTGAATATCCAACAGTGCAGAGGACAGGCCCACCCCCCACGCCCGCCCAAAAAACAGAATTATCCTAACCAAAATGTCATGAGTGCCAAGATTGAGAAACCCTGCCCCAAACTGAAGTGAATGACAGTTACTTCGTGCCTGTGTAGGAAAGTGCAGGGCAGGAAAAGTAAAAACAATTGTAATTTGTAATCCTAAACTGAAATCACAGTTGGATGTTCAATAGTGACATTTCCAAAAGAGCATCCCTTTCACTTTTGGAATCACAGAACTTTAGAGCTCAAAATAAGGGATTATATAAACCACTTAATACACTGAGCTCATTTTACAAGCATGGAAAGTGTAGCCCAAAGAAAGTATGATTTATTTAGTTTTTGGAGCTAGTGACAGAACTAGGCTGGAGCACAGGACATTTTCTTTTCAATGCCCTTTTCTGTTCTTGTTTAATTTCTCAAAATCAACACACAACAAATTTGACGAATCTATATTCCAAGACTCAGAAAGAAAACATTAAGGAATCTTTATTCAAGTGACTCAGCGTCTTCAGGAAAAAGAGAGTTGTATCTTGAAACTTGAGCACTGTATCTTAAAACTCAGCTCTATTGAGCAGAAAATAATTATCTATTAAAAAGGATAAATGAAGGCTTGCTTTCTGATGCATCTTCTAGGGCTATAATGTAATTTGATAATATCGCATTGCAGTTGAGTGAAACTAGTTGACTTGTGTAACAAGCTAAGATAGGAATGCTATTTTTGTTGGGAGTCTTCCCTAGACTTAAATTTGGTATTTTTTTCCTAGTATAGTAACAGATTAATTATCCGGAGACCAGAATTCTGGCAACCTCAAGTATCAGAAGAATGATGACCCTTGAAGTAAGGATTTTTTTTAAGCGTCTGTGATAAGGAAATAATTAACGGCAATGAAGATAGGCAAGAAGTGTCAGACACAGATTATCCTGATGCCTCATGATTAGTTAGTTGATTCAGTGGCCAAAGAGGTCAGGTTTTCTGAGTGACTGGTGATATCTGTATAAAAGCTGTACTATACAAAAACATACAGAAAAAAAAAATTACGAAACATTTACCAACATGGAAAAGTACTTACGATGCTTGAGGAAAGCAGACTGCAGAAGTGAAGCTAGAAACTAATCTGTGCTCTAAAAGTTGTGATGTGGAAAAGGACCAGGACAGGAACGTGGAAAATGGAATTATAGTTTTATTGAAATGACAGAGTTGTGGGTAAATTTTATTTCTATTAATAGTAGTTGATATTATTAGTATGTTTAATGAAAAGTTCATCTAAAAATTCTGAGTTCTATTATCAGTGGAGAGTCCTCTCTCTCTTCCAAAGGATTCATTTCGACCATGCCGATAAGCAAGTGATTACTAAAGAAATGTCTTTCACAAAGATAGGCCCTTGACACCCAAAAAGTGGTCAAACCATTGACACATTCATAGGAAATGGTCCGTGATAGTATATAAACTTGGCTCCTGCTGGATTATTAAAGTAAAATTGTTTTAGAAGTTTTGTTTCCTCCAATAAACTAAAACTGTTGTACTATTGTTCAGCCTATTACGTTTTAACATTTTTCCTAGACTACTGGACTTGGAGGGTCAGCAGTAGCAGGTCATGCATCAGACCAGATTGAACACATGGTACCTGTTAAGGATCGCATCATTAAAGTCACCTTTAATGCAGATGTGCACGCAAGTCTCCAGTGGAACTTCAGACCTCAGCAAACAGAAATATACGTAAGTGATTAAAGCAGTTTTTAGAAGATTACTTTTTTCAGTGTATAATTTCTTTCATCACTTAACTGTTTTCACGATTTAGGAAACACTCATTTAAACTTAATTTCAAAATACAGATTCCATTACTGTAATTTTTTTATTCCAATAGGCTGCTCTTTGACAGTGCCTTACACCTAATGTAACAGAAGAGAATTTAACTTTTAAGTTACATGGCGTTATAGTAAAAGTCATTGTTCCATAGTTTGGAATAATGGAAAAAAATGGCATGTTTTTATTAGAATTATATAAAGAGTTCACTAAGAAGTCTCTGGTCACTAGTCTTGAGAGTGGGAGCAAGCTGTCATGTTTTGTAATTGACTTTATTCCAGGAATAGATGATATAGGAAAGATACTGAAAATCATTAGCTACAGTGAAAACTAGTTTACTAATTTACATCAAAAGTATCCCTGTCCCTTAAAAAATTGTAATTTTTGAGGATCTTTGAAGTAATCATACTACTCATGTTCTACTTCAGAATGACTATACACCTTGAAAGTTTCCTAAAATCTTGACTGATGGACTCCCAGAGGGTTTAACTGAAGTTATCTCATAAACCAAGGAATAGCCAGAAAAGCTTAACTGTAACTCCTATTGGAAAACTCTTATATTAGTGCTTCTCCAGTTTAATAATCCTGACTGAATCTGAATCTCTTAAGTGATGGAGAGTTTTATAGATTATGGTTCTGAATAATAGTTCCAATCACATAGTAGTGTCTAAGGAATTAGTGGCTAAATTGGTACATGCAACAGAGCATCCTTTGGAAGTTGACTATTTTAAAGCCTTGCAATTTATTTCATCTGCTATTCTCTCAAAAAAAAAAATTAGTGTTTTTTTGGTTAAATAAAAATTCTATTCAATCAGTTTGAGTCTTGTTACACATTTAATTTACTCTGGTTGTAACCTAAGTTGAAGGTTGGTAATCTTTTCTAAAGAGTCGTTAGTTAATTGTATGATATTCAGGGGTAAGTATTAAGAAGTTAGGCTTGGCTTGTTCTTGGACACATTTTAAATAACTTCATTTGCAGATTATTACTTGAAGACTTCAGACATACAAGGGGACAATCTGTAACTAAGTATGCATAATAGGGCATTGGTTCTTCATTGACATATGCAAGTAACATCTGAAAATCAGATGTTCTTGGTAGTTTTCACAATTTATTTTGCTGACCCTTAACATTAGATTAGGTATTATGGTGTGAAGGTAAAGTAATATGACTAATTTAGGAGGGAAACAAAGAGCTGTGTTTGAGATACAAAGTGTTGATAATGTCTACTTTCCTTAATACAGGTAGTGCCAGGAGAGACTGCACTGGCGTTTTATAAAGCTAAGAATCCTACTGACAAACCAGTAATCGGAATTTCTACATACAATATTGTACCATTTGAAGCTGGACAGTATTTCAATAAAATACAGGTACAACTTAATGCAGATGATACAGAATGTGATAAAAGTACATAGGATGGTTTGTTACTAAATTTCCTGCAGTGTTTTTTTAGTAGGTACTAATTTTTGGAAAGTTCATTTCTTCTGAACTTCAAACTGTTTTTTCATTGCTTATAATAGCTATGCAGAGGTTGAGAGCCAAACTTTGATATCTGCTTTTAAGATGAGAAGATTTGCTGATTCTCAATCCTTAAAGCAAAACTCAATCTGAGATGAAAAGACACTGTTATTTATCACAGAACTTAGATGATAATTAATAGTATGGTTATTAAAGCAAATGAGATGAATTAGTAGTTTTTAGAGTAGAGAAATTAATAAATGATTCCTTTCTATGAATCCTAGTGCTTCTGCTTTGAAGAACAAAGGCTCAATCCACAAGAGGAAGTAGATATGCCAGTGTTTTTCTACATTGATCCTGAATTTGCTGAAGATCCAAGAATGGTGAATGTTGATCTCATCACTCTTTCTTACACGTTTTTTTGAGGCAAAGGAGGGGCATAAATTGCCAGTCCCAGGCTATAACTGAAGTCAGCAGCAAGTCCTGCTTCAAATTTGTGATTTTTGAAAAATCATGTAACTTGTCTTCTCAGGGAAAAATAGTTACAATAACTTGAAGCCTTCTATTTTAAATATTATGTACTGATGGTTCTTTTTTTTTCCCAACTAATTTACCCTACTTAGAATGTATTACTGTTCAAAACCATACTTAGAGTTTAAGTAGTATTAAAAGAAACTGCATTGTTTCTCAAATACGTTGGTGTGGACTGATGATTCAGCTTGATTCACTGGTTCTCTTTCAAATTAGTAGCACTTCATATTTGTAGCAATGAATTTTTTTTATTTCTAGAATACTGGGTTACTACTTTCATTATGAATAGTCACTATTTTAAAAGCTCAAAATGGACAAAGATTACATTCTGATTTCAAATTTCACTGTATTTTTCCTTTAAGATCTAGGGCTATTTTACATTCAGAGTACTGAATAATTACTTTGAAATCTTGGTACCATGAAAGTTAAATAAAATGCATAACTATATCCACTAGGCTTCTAGCATTTCTTGTTACTACAGTTCCAAGTCCCTGAATGTTAAAATATAAGTGTCAGATTATGAAGGTTTACTGACATTAGAAATTCTTCCCTGAAAAAAAAAGTATTAAATTGTTTCAATCGTAATTTATTTGTCACTGTAATTTATGACATAACTGAATGTTTTTCAGTAGTCTTTCTTCCAAAAAGAAAAAAAAAGAGAACATTTAGTATTAGGAAGAATCATATTTAAAGGCAACCTGATGCAGAGTTCAGTGACCTCTTCAGGGTACCTGAACCACAATGAAATTACAATCATAAAGGCTTTTACAGTTATAATTCTAAACAAGAGTAGTATTTATAAAGAAGTGCAAATTGACTTTTACATTCAACTTTAGTTAAATGAAGGCACTCGGTGTTCTTCCTGAATTAAATATTGTTTCTCACATTTTATGCTTTCATCTATTAACAATTATTTTGTAATCAAATATGTTTCTTAACTCTTAACCTAGCTCTTGTGATGAGTTCTAATTTGCTACACTTAACCTGGTTGGCCTCAATACCATGCATTTTTCTTCTGCTACAATTTTAAGTGAATGTACATTACAACCAAGTTCTCTTGAGATAAAGCTTGCGTTGCTGTCAGGAACCATTAATGTTACTCTGGAACTGCTACTCTTCTGTTTAAACTTCATTACTGCAGAGGAGAAACGTGCCACCATGGTTTTGATGTGTTGGCAGGTCTTGTCTTCTGGGTCTCAAAGCTGGACTCAGTCTACCTTTTAGAGAATTGGCACCTGTAATGCAGCTGGTGAGCCGGTCATCCACGTCCACCTGGAATAAAAAGAAGGGTCAACCATCTCCATCTTTCCTCTCTTTCTCCATTCCTTGATAACTAGAGACCCACAGTCTAGTAGAGGAAAGTGGGAATGTTCTTCCACAGGGGAGGGTGTAAAGGGAGTAAATAAGGTTAATGGGCTACTGTTGGCCATGCATCTGTTAGTAAAATGGAGTGATCAATAAAGCAGTAGAAGCCAGACCCATCTAGACTAACAATGAATGGGCTCTGTCAGTCCCAATTAGCGGGTATTAACTGCACATTAAAAGACAAATCTGATTCTAGTGCTAAGGAGTTTTCACTGATCATCTGTTTTTATTAGCATGAACATTTCTGGACCATGAACAGCTTCTGCACTCCCAAGATTTGTAATTTTTAGCTAACATGGTCACAAAGAGTGTGCTTCATTAGTGAACAACGGTTCATTACAATTTGAGTGATTCAGAGGAAACTGTGTGATATTTTACCCAAAGTGTCAGACTGAGATGGCCCATACAAAATGTAAATACTAAATGTAGAAAGTGATACATACATTGAAGTCATGTGGAATGTAAGGTGTGTAAATGGAAGTCTTTACCTCAGCAGTCACTGTGACTTTGAGCTCCTTTATGGTGATGGACATCAATGTCTTCATAAATAGCTCTGAAACAAACAAGCCATCATGGCAAAAGGGTTACATACCAACTTGAGTGTACTATTCTGGCTTTTAACTGCCAACACCTTAACTGAAAATATGGTGCTGTCTCAGGTGTTCAGGCTGTATCAGTGAATAAAAACAAACTTACATTATAGCCCTCTTAAACCTAATGCTGCAATTCCCATGTAGCTTATAAATGTGTATCTTTATATAACCATTTTACTTGTAATTTAATGAGAAATATGGCTCAAATTTGGACAGTTTGCTTTCTGCTTTAAAAAAAAAGCAAAAATTGTTCAGCTTCTCCTGACTTCAAAACATTTAAAAATATTAATATTCTGGCTTATTTAACTTACATTATTACAGTCCAAACTCCTTAGCTACCTTTAGTATATAACTATCATCTCTGTCCTTTGTATATAGCAATTTTTCTATGACAACCTTCATTCAGTTCTTTATATTTGTCTTACATATGTCTGTAGCTAAAAAATACCTGTATCTCCAAATACAACAGTAGTATACATAATACAACAAAATATGGATAAGGAAAAAAAACTCATAAAAATCATGGCACAATGAAGGCATGATCACCAACTACAAGAGGCCCCAGCACTGTTCAGAAATTTTAATGTTTCTGTAGTAAGTCTTGTCTCTCATTTTCCACAAAACCGTTTCAACCTCCTTCACTCACCTCAAATCTCTGATCCTGTCTCCTCTCTCAGAAACCTCACATCTTCATAAATTAAATGCCTTCGTAAGGAAACTTCCTTGTGTTCCCATCACCAGTCTTCAAGTCTGTTTTCATCTGTTCCATCATCTACTTCAGTGACCCTGTCTATCTTCGCCTGGCTTCTCAAACACTTCACTCATTTAGTATCTCCCTTTCTGACTCTTCAACTTCTCTTTCTTTACTAAGCCCTACCCCTCAGGAGCCGAGAGGTTCCAGCAGCTCCCATTTTATGAAACAGTACAGTCCTTCATCCCATGTCTACATAACCACCTCAGTAAGCCTCCAGCTGCCAGACCACCTTCCACAATCCCTTCATGTTTCAGTTTCTACTGTTAACCTGCGCACTCACTGTCTACTTCGTCTCTTTCTTTTCAACGCACTGAAATTTGGCTCTGTCCCCATCAATCTGCCAAAATGCTTTTACTAAAATCACCAATGATTCCTTGTTAACTCGATCCATTATCTAGTTTTGTCCTTGTCTGTCTTCAGTGATAGCCATCGCAGTTGTGCACTCCCTTCTTTTTGTTTCCAAATTGCAATTTCCATACCTGGTAATAGGTTCCCTGTTGCTCTCTTTGCTCGTGGCTTTTCCATTTCCTTGAATGTGCCCAAACTCTCCCTCTACAGAAAGTCTCTCCATAAGTAGTTCCCTGGGTCTACAACAGTGATACCCAAACTTGTCACCTGACTAAAAATTGCAGGTTTTAACCTTAATGTCACTTTGTCAAGCTTTCTCTAATCCACATTTAAATCAGTTCCTCCCATTACACATGGTCAACATATTCTTTTCTATCGTTATTAATAATATGTAAGTACACATTTGCCTGCTGATTTATTTCTGCCTCCACACTAGATTTAACCCCCGTGAGGTTCAACGTGATCAGTTAGGCACCAAGCTTTGTCCCTTGCACGGTGTTCAGTGCATTTGTCAAATGAATGAACCATATGTACGTATATGTATATTCATAACTATTATACTCTTGTTCTGCTAGAGTAGAAATTCTTAACCTGGGGTTCATGGACAACAGTGATGTGGAAAATCTCAGAACTTTTCTGTAAGATTTTGTGCTTTCCCCTAGGAAGACATTCTTTGGATTTCATGGAACTTTCAAAGGAACTGAGACACCCGACCCCCTAGGAAGTAAGACCCACAGTGGAAGAGAAGTCCAAAGACACCTCTCCAGCTCCTTACTGTCTCTCTTACCTTTAATATCCATTGCACTACCTCATCTGCTTACAACAATCTCCTAATTAACCAGAATATAATAAACTTTTCCAATTTTTATTTGGATAGAAATTCCAAATTTTATTTGGAAACTGATAAAAATATTCAGTTTCCAGATAGCATCCCTAGTTTAACCAGTTTCTAATTCCTTAAGCCACTAATGTATTCAGTAATGCTTTACACCAAGCAGAATGACCTAGAAAAACTTCATAAGCCTGTTAGGAAAAATATTGAATGAACTCCTAAGCCCATCAACATTTATTCACAAATCATTCCAAAATGGATCACTACATTGAAGGTTTAGACCAGGGCCAAGACCTCAAATGCCTACACGTGCCAGGCAGGTCAAATGAAGGGTTGCAGGGGGCCGGGGGGGGGGGCTGGTGGGGTGCAGAGCCTGTCTCATCTCAAACAGGCAGCTACTACGCAGCCCCAAGCTACTGCTAGCCGGTAAAAATGCAGGCCTGGCACTGCAGTCGTATCCAAAAGAATCCAGGGGTCCAGATATTTTTTTGAAATATCCCACTTTCTAACTTGGCCAATACGAAATCATAAAATAATGCTGCTTTAAGGATTTCAAGTTAAAAAGTAATTTTTACACTAATCCACTTTAAACACATTGTTGTCGTAGGTAGTAAAGATGAAAAAAAGGCCTTATGTAAGTTTTTTTTTGGCATTAGTCAAAGAACAAGTGAAATATCCCATCGATGTGGTATTTATGTCACTCATCAGTGAACAGTGCCCTTTTAAGCTGGAGAGAAACTGACTTTCCACCAAGGCATCTACCAGGAATGCATTAATGCACACGATGGTTCTGGTTATTTCTTAAATGTGCAACTACAGCATTTTTATTTTTCAGTCTCAAGGCCGAGAGTGACAAGACCATTAAAAGCAACAGCCTCCACAAAACCTGTAAGTCATTTTTAAATAAGGTCACTGATTTCTGCCAAGACCTAAATAAAGTTAAAATGTATAACCAAGCCCTGTTAGCTCTGCTACCAAAGGGAACCAAGGCAAAACATAATCATTTCGTAAGTGACTTACTCTGTAGTGACAGCAGGCGCTAAGGGATCAAATTCCATTACCTCGTAGTAATTGGGTGGCCGGAGATCGTTCTTTGACATCGCTGTAGAGACAACACAAAGACCAGTAAACACGCACTGTGTTTTTCAAGGAGATACAATTACTATCCTCTTTATGACTTAAAGACTTCAAACATAAGAAACTAACAAACACTGACAACCAGAAACAAGCACACTGGTGGTCCAAGGCTGCTTCCAAGTACAGCAAATCTATATAGGACAAAAAGATTTCCAAATTTCCACTGAAGTTTCATTTACCTCAGCACTCAAAATATTCAGTGCAACGCAAGGATTTTTGCAATCACCTGATGTCACCCGTAAGGGCATCTGTCTTGCATTCATCTCATGCGGCTTCAAAATGCAAGTGGACTCTAATTTTTCCTCTCCGTGTATCTAATTTCAATTACCAATAAATCTCCAGCAGACCCATCTATTCTCACAAGTTTCCTTATTCGATGCAAAATATGAAGTTTCAAATACCTGGATGATTGCTGGGCAAGGAGGGCAGTGTCTGGTTTGATGGTGTTGCTGGGATGTTCTGGAGACTAACCGGCTGCAGTAATACTGAATTTGAATATTCCGGAATCTGAAGAAAGCACAGTGTGTGTTCAAATAAACATTCTACGTTAACCTTCTCTTTATTATTTAGGTTCCTAGGCTTCCAAGTGGCACTATTCCAAGAACCATGTACTCTCAACCAGATAAGGATCAGTCATTATTAACTATTATTTTAGTTTTTTAGGTAATGATCCCTTACAAAATTTACTGCTTTTCTGTCTGGTTTCGTGCCCACTGTACCTCATTTCCTGTATAAAATGTAAATTAAAAAAGTTGCTTAAAAAAAAAAAGAAGCAGGAATGAATGGCTCTTGTTCCACACAGAATATAAAACCCTGGCCTCAAAGAGGACAAAAAACATTAGCTACAAAAAAAGCATAAGGTGATGCTATCAAATCAGGACTTACAGATAAAGATTAAAGTTTTAATTAGAAATACTTCTTTCTGGCCACTGCCCTCTCTCTCCCTCTTCGGAGATGGCCCACATTCTGTCTATGGAGTGTGTACCTACTTTTAATCTGAGCACCCAACCCCCACACCTCGTGGCCTTTCTCTTACCTTTCAATGTATCTCTCTGAATAAATCTACCTTCACTCAAAAAAAAAAAAAAGAAATATCTCTTCTTGTAATTTTCTTCATTCATTTCACAAATATGTCCTGGGCACCTACTGTATGCCAGGCTCTATAAATAAAGCAATAAATAAAACAGGCCAAATCTCTGCCTTCAAGGAGCAGACAGTCAACAATTGTAGACAGATGTCAGATGGCAAGTGCTCTCAGGAAAAGGCGGGGCAACAGGGATCAGAGAGGCTGGGGTGGGGTGCTGCTCGACAGTCGTGGTCAGGAAATGTCTCACCCCTGGGGACACTGAGCAGAGCCCTGACTCTGATGGGGGTCCCTGATTATCTGAGGGGGCACAAGGTCATCGGCTCTGAAGTGGGGGAGGCCAGAGCAGCTGCAGCAGAGTGAGCCCAGGGAGAGCGGCGAGCTGGAGAGGTAATGGGACAGGTCAGATCAGCATTTCAGGCTTTTACTGAGCAAACTAGGATGAGGAAGCAGATCAGAGGTGGGTTTAGAGCAGATGGGTAACATAACACGAACTTTACTTTTAAAAAAGATTGCTCTGGTTTCTGTTTTGAGACCAGACTGTGATAGGGGAGGGGGTGGAGAGGGAGGCGAAGGCGGAGGCAGGCAGCCCTCTGGGAGGCCACTGCAGTGTCCATCTGATGGTCGCTTGGACTGGGTGTGGAAGTGGAGGTGGAGAGAGTTGGCTGGATAATGGATATCTTTTGAAGGTAAAAGGTTAAAAGGCAGAAGCCAAGAACATTTTTGCAAGGGTTTTGACCTAAGCAACTGAGATAGTGGTCATTTCCCGGCAGGCAGAGCGAGTCGGGAGCTGGGGCTGGGAAGAAAGCAAGATGTGAGTGGGAAGTGGGTGTGAGTCCTGAGTTTAGGGGCGGGGTATGGGCTGGAGACAGCAACTTGGAAGTCATCAGAATCTGAATGTATTTCAAGATATGAGACCAAAAGACCATGGAGGAATGAATACAACTAGAGAAGGCTGAACCCTGATCCCTGGGGTCCCCAAGACTGAAAGGCCAGAAGAGGAGAAGGGACCAGCAAAGGGGATGGAGAAGAAATGAGGGGAGAGAAGAACCAAAAATGAGTGGTGTCTGAAAGCCAGATGTGCAGAAAGCAGGACGTGACTGACCCTGTCACCTGCTTTGATCGGGTAAGACGAGGACTGAGAACTGCAGGACTAGATTTAGCACCTGGAGGTTTAGGGTGAGGCAAGGGCTCTGCCAGTCAAGTGGGAGGGACGAGAACTTGTCTGAAGTCTGTTAGTGGACAGGAGGAAAGAAGTGGAGACAGCAAACATCAACAGCTGTAAGGGAATTAGGGTCCTTAACCATCGTCCTCATAGAAGTGAGGCTCAACTTGCCCATCTTAAAAGATTAAAAAGACAAGGGAAAGTCCCAACAAAGGCTGCCCGAACAAGTTACATACACAAAGAAACACTGAGCAGAACATGAGAATTAAGGGCCAGGAGTTCCTTTTCAGCCATGATAATCGGCTCACTAGGTGCTCGGCCAGGGAAGGCCTTCATTACTTACACTCTCATACGTATGGCTTGAGGCGAGGTTTTGGCTGGTCCTTTGGGCAAACCTAGGATAGTGTGATAACACAGAATGATTACCCTACAGTGAGGACACAGATGCAAGAAGATGACTTTCCTCGTCTAAAAACAAAATCTAAAATGTACCTTCAGACTGCACACAAGGATTAGTTTCATAGAACAACTGCCATTGGTTTTAGTGCCCACCGGGTCATGACGCCCAAGTCCCACCAAGAGCGCAGGCAAAGCACTGTCCCTTAGCAGTGGTTGCCCTGAGACCCTGGAGCGTGCACACTGCACCCGTCAGCAGAGCCTTCAGCCTTTGTGTCAGAGTGGCTATCACCCCATCACTTCCTGAAGAACAAGGGGCAATGCAGAGTAGAGGTTACAAAGTGGGGACAGTTGAGGGTAAAGTTGGAGTAAACACACTTTGTCCTGTCTCTCCCACCAAATGCAACTACAATAAACCTAGACAGGATGCATGAGACAAATAAATATCTGAGGACTGAAAAGTAAATACTAGTAGTTACAGACAGATTGGGAGGGGAGACTAGAATTTGAGTATCACTGAATTGTTGGTGAACTTAACCATGTTTTGCCCCTCTGGTGTTCCCTAACCAGGATGCAATGCAGCCTAAAACCTGAAAGTGGCAGTGTGGACAGGGGTACCTTCCTCTCTAATAGGTGGAACTGTGAAGCCAAGAGGATGGGGCAAACCTCTGGTGTTTCTTTTATCCTTTCTGTGCTGCCGTCTGGTCCCCAACACAAACATAGTCAGAGAAATGCATGGCATAGCGAATCTTCAGCTTTCTTACTGAAAAAGCAAAATAAAGGGAGTCCCAGGAAAGCCAAGAATCAGAGAAATCATGACAAGGGAGGAATTCAGGAAAACAACCTCCAAGTTGTTTATGAAATCCTGGATTCACACCCTGATCTGTGCATCCATGGCTGATGCCAAAGATGTTGAGAACTACACACACAGCCTGCTGTCCAGACCTTAGACTGACTACTGGGTGGCACACACGTGGGACAGATCTGAACAGCACTGCAGGGACTCTGAAAACTTAACTGCCATTGGAACCAAAGCACCCAGAAGGCAGGTTGCAACTGCAGCATAAACCTCAAGAGGTTGCTTGCCTACTAAAAGCAAAATATCAACATTCCTGACAGAATTTAAATAAGAGCGATTGTATCATAACATTAAAAATGTCCAAGATACAACCCCAAATTACTATGCATATGAAGAACTGGGAAAATTTCAACTTGCAAGAGAAAAGACAACCAGCAGAGGCTGACATCTAGGGGACAGAGATGCTAAAACCATCCCATGGAGGTTTTAAAGTAGTTACAAATGCTTCAACAAGCAACTGTGAATACTCCTGAAAAACACAGAAACAAAGAAGGTCTCAGTAAAGAAACAAGGTTATAAACAACCAAATGGCAATTCTAGAATTGAAAAATATAATAACTGAAATTTAAAAAAAAATTTACAGAATAAGCTAAACTATAAAATGGGGATGACAAGAGGAAACAGAGTGAGAAAAGTAATGAACAGAACCCCACGGATCTAAGAGGCAATGACAACAGGTCTAACGTGTGTCATCAAGGGTCCTGGAAGGACAGTGGAAAATGTGCTGAAAAAGACTGGAAGAAAGAAAGGCTAGAAAGTTCACAAATGTGAAAGACAAACCCACAGATTCAAGAAGTTCAGTGTAGTAGGCTGAGTGGTGGCTCCCAAAGAGTTATGTCTTTGTCCTAATTCCTGGAACCTGCGGGTGTTACTTGGAAAAAGAGTCTTTGCAGATAATTAAGGACCTTGGGATGACGATACCAGCCGGTATCATTGGGGTGGGCACTGAATCCAATGACAAGTGACCTTAAAACAGAAAAGCAGGGGGAGACCTGAGACACACAGAGGAGAAGGCAATGTGAAGGTGGAGGCAGAAAGGGGAGTAATGTGGCCACAAGCCAAAGAAGCAAAGGAGTGCCACACGCACCGGAATCTGAAAGGGGCAAAGAATGGCTTCTCCCCTAAGAGCCCTGGAGGGAGACAGGGCTTGCTGGCTTTCAGACTTCCAGCCTCCAGAACTCCAAGGAGATGCGTTCCTGTGGTCTTAAACCACCCAGTTTGTGGTCATTTTTTTCTGGCAGTCATAGTAAATGGACACACTCAGCAAAACCAAACGACAGCCATGCAGAGGCACATCATGATCAAACTGCTCAAAATTAGAAAAAAGTAAGAGTTCTTGAGAGCACAGACAGAACAACACGGAATTAAAAGGGCAACAAGAATTTGAATGAATGTAGGTTTCTCATTAGGAGCCGTTTAGGCCAGAACAGACTGCAGCCATGTTTAAAAACTGCTGAAAGAAAAGAACCATCATTATATATATGTATGTGTGTGTATAACTGAATTGCTTTGCTGTACACCTGAAACTAACACTGGAAATCAACTACACTTCAATAATAAAATAAAATAAAATAAAATAAAATAAAATAAAATAGAGAACCATCAACTCAGAATCCTAAGCCAATGAGAATACCCTTATCCTTTAGTAACAAAAATGAGATGACATACTCACATAAAATAAAACTAAGAGACTTTCACTGCTGACAGACCTGCTTTAAAATAATGGCTAAAGGAAATTTTTTAGAAAGAGAAACTGTACCAGAAGAAAATAAAAGAAGAGCAATAGAAATGTTAAATATTGAGTAAAAGACTACTCTTCCTGAGTTCTTTAAAATATACTTGAGGGTTGCAACAAAAAACTATAATATGGAAAAATAATTATAATAATGTGGAAAAATAACTGCATAATTATACATTGTCCAGCAGTGATTTTTAATGTGTGTGTATGTGTGTGTGTGTGTGTGTGTGTGTATCTGTATGTATACATATATATATAAAATGTGTATGATAACTATAATAAAGGGGAAACTGTATGACAGTAAGGTTTCTACATTTCACTTCAAGTGGTAAAATACTAGTTTTAAGTACACTAAAAAACTGGAATTCCTAGAGCAACCAGTCCTGTCCTCCCCAGATATAAACTTCACAAAGATATAAAATCATGATAAAATGGAATACTGAAAACAGTCAAATAATCCTCAGTATGAAGGAGAGAGGAAACAAACAGACAAACAAAACCAAAGGGAACAAATCGAAAGCAAATTACACTATGGGTAGATAGACCTAAATTCAAACATATAATAACATTAAATGTAAATGGCCTAAACATACCAATTACAGACAGAAATTATGAGAACACATAAAACTGCATGCCCCAACCATATAATATCTACAAGAAACTCACTTTAAATATTTAAGTTAAAAGTAAAAAGATAGAAAAAGATACACCATGCAAACACTAATCAACAGAAAGCCAGAGTGGCCCTATTAGTATCAAAGCAAACATCAGGGCAAAGACAATTACAAGGGACAAAGAGGGACATTACATAATGATAAAAGGGTCAGCTCACCAAGACAACAATCCTGAATGCATATGCACTTAATGACAGAGCTTCAAAGTACATGAGGCAAATAACTTTACATAACCCTTCCTAAAAGTATCACATACTCTATGATTCTATTCAGATGCTATTGTCAAAAAGACAAACTATAATAATAGAAAATAGATTGGTGGTTGCTGGGATTTGAGGGTGGGAGGATGTGACTATAAAGAATCAGCTTAAGACAGTTTTTTTGCAATAATAAACTCTATTCTGACTGTAGTGGTAGTTTCATGAATCTATATATGTGTTACACACACAAAAAAGGGTCAATTTTACCACTTGGAAATTTAAAAAACGAAATTAAAGTGCAGAAAAAAAAAAGATATCAGGTACTGAAATCAGACCCACTTGAATTTGAATTCTCTTTCTTCACTAGTTGGGCAACCTTTGGCAAGTTAATCTTCCTCAGCCTTGGTTTCTTAACTTGTAGAGTAAGAATGATGGGGGTACTGACCTCAGAGGCCTACGAGAAGCACTAGTAGGTAATGAGTAAGTATCTCTTGTTCTTCTTAGCCTGATCATAAGTGGGCTATAAATATGACCTGTGAGTTTTCTCATCATCATTGTTGTTTTTCAAGGATCCCTTCTGTTATAATTCTTTCACTCATTTGTTCTTAGACAATAAATAAATTAAACTGCAAACACAGAGGGGTGGAAAAGTCTCAAGACCATGAGATATTTTGATGGCTGATTTTGCCCTTATGTGTGATCTCTGGCATATGATTTAACCCAGATTCATACCTTAGAGTTCATAACTTTAGTGCTTCAATTTCTGACACTAAAAAAATGACTAATTATAGTTTCACTCATGTATACGCTTTTTTTGAAAATCCAAAAAAAATACAAAAAGCATAGTCTAGAAAACAAAGTATAGACATTCTGACACATTATCTTTTATTCCAGTGAATTCTGAGAACTAGTACAATTATTTTGGTATCTGCATCTTGGGTGGACAAGCATACAGTAGGGTTTCCAGTGATCAGCCAATCACTGCTTTATGATTCCCTGGAGATGCTTTTTAAAACTAAAGATTCCTGTTCCTGAATCACAGTTTCTGAGAGCCAGGAGTTCTACTTTTTAATAGTCCCCCAAGTGATTTTTACGCACTTTAAAAATGAGATCCATG